GAGAGAGAGAGAGAGAGAGAGAGAGAGAGAGAGAGAGAGAGAGAGAGAGAGAGAGAGAGAGAGAGAGAGAGAGATTTTAAAAATAGATTTTTAGATTATTTTATTGATTTTTAAGGTCTTTGGTCTATACCTCCACTCAGAGTTCCCCACATCGTATGGGTACAATAGTAAAACATGGCGTACGGATAGGGTTAATAGACTGATTGTATTTTTGATTTCCATCATGATTGATGGTTACTGTTGATGCATATCTTATCTTGTCCATCTTCTCCACTCCGCTCTAAATGTGTTGATATTGTTACCTTACTGGTGTTGTCCTTAAGTAAGTCTCTCAGTGATACTACGGAAATATGCATCTCGACTTGGGGCATCGTCATTATTTTTAGGATGCTCCTGTGCTTTGATGTACATTCTTTCTTTGTGAGAAAGCACAAATTAATGCTTTGTTCTGTGACGTGCTTTATTTCATCTAATTCTTTTCAATGTTACTCTTATCTCAGTCTGTTTCTGGTTCAATGTGGACATTGTATTGCAAGAAGTAACAACTCGACTAAAATTGCTCAGAGCTCATATATTCGTATGGAATAAAGCACTATATAAATGCAATCTATTATTATTAGTAGTAGTAGTAGTATTATTATCACATTGCGTAAGCCTGACCCTCAACAGTGGGTGGTTGGCAGGTGCTCTGGTGTGGTTTGCTCCTTCTTTCCTATAAAAAATCTATCGTCTCTATCTCCCCTCCTTCTTTTTTGTGTTTGTTACTCTCTTGTAACACCTCTAATCTTCTGGCGCTCATATGACCTTATGCAGTTGCGAGTGTCGTAAAACACTTACTAAAATTAATTAATTCAGTGTTTGTGGCTCAATGTGGACATTGTAGTGCAAGAAGTAACAACTCGGCTAAAATTGCTCACAGCCCATATATTCGTATGGGATAAAGCACTATATAAATGCAATCTATTATTATTAGTAGTAGTAGTATTATTATTACATTGCGTAAGCCTGACCCTCAACAGTGGGTGGTTGGCAGGTGCTCTGGTGTGGTTTCCTCCTTCTTCCATATCAAACATCTACCGTCCTGATCTCTCTTTGTTCTTTTTTGTATTTGTTACTCTGTTGTAACACCTCTAATCTTCGGCATTTATATGACCATATTGAGTTGCAAGTGCCGTAAAACTCTTACTTTAAAAAAATGACCCTCAACATCTTCTGTCCTATCAGACCTCCAGGGCATCATGCGATGCACTCTGAGTTCAATGGCTACTGCACCTTCAACAATGTTGCTATTGCAGCAGAGAGAGCGCTGTCCCGAGGTGTCTCCAGGTGAGTTTCTTGCTTGTTTTTTAATTTCTTGACACACTATACTTCTCAGTTTTCCTGACATAGACACTATTTTCTTCTCCAGCCTCATGGAAGTCATATGTGTCGTGACGCAGTGGAATCTGGCACTCGTCAATTATTGGGCATTTTAAGGAATTGCTATCCTATCTTTTGATGAAAAAGCCCCCATCTACCTTGAATTGAAGTCAAGATTTTTACAATTGAAGGAGGAGGGGATCGTCTGGTTTCAGAAGTAAAATCAGTGAGAAAATGGTCGACGAGGTTTGGTGATTTTTCTAAACCTTAGAGTCCTTGGAAATTGGAAATTTGTATTTTATCGCCTTTATTCAACCTTTTTCAGTAAAATCACATAGAAATGTGTTTTTAAATAGACCTAAAAGTTGTTTAGCCAAAAAAATAAACTTTGATAGAAATTGCCAAACCGGAGGGGAGGGGGGTGGAAGTGTCATTGTCTTCCATTTCATTATTTTGAAGAGCGCCTGATTTCACCACGATGCCTCACATATTGAAAAATTGCATTCTCCTGGCTTCTCAGTGGAGTTTTTTTGTACTTACATGCATATTTAAATTATGTTTTAGGAAAAAAGACGGAGACTTGTAGCTTCCTCTAGATGGCACTTACAGTTCTTTGCCCAGAGCATTTCTATATTAAGTCAGATGCTTTTATTTGAAATTGATTTTCCCATGATTTCTACTTTATGAGCTTGCCCTTTTTTCTCATTGAGTCCTCCTTGTGGAGAGCAGTGATTATTTTTTAAATTAAGGTATCTTTTGTGTGATTGTGATTTTGACGATTTAATTTGATACGTGTAAGTGTGGAATGAAATGATAGCCGTGAATCTCTTCTATTTTCTGTCTTTTTTTGTTCATGTCAGGATTCTCATCGTAGACTGGGACGTACATCATGGCCAAGGTGTGCAGAGGCACTTTTACAAGGACTCCAGGTGTGTGTATATGTGTGCGTGCATGCATGCCTGCGAGTGTGTGTGTGCGTGAGTGCGTGCATGCGTGCGTGCATGCATACGTTTGTGTATGTGTGAGTCTGCATATATCATTTTCTATACATATTATGTGCTAATAAAATTGTATTTATGTGTACTATGATATTTGTGTGCATGAGAACTTTGTTGAAGGTTACGGAGGGCTTATGTTTTTGCTTTATTCACAAAGGTGTGTGTCTGTGTGTGTGTGTGTGATATATACTTAATTATTCACCTAAGGTTTATGCAGTCAGATATTTGAGCTCCCATTTGTTGGGCTGCTTGCACTAACAATTCAAACTGAAAATAAAGATGTATTTTATAAGTCATATGAGCACTATGTGATATGTTTTATGCATTTGTTTAATCCACTTTGCACTAAGTGTCTTTCTGAGACACTGCTAAGCGAAAATGCCTTGTACGACCTTTTTTGTAAGCTTATTTCTGTAGTGTGAACGCCTTTATAATCTGTCTCTTATCAAAATTGTATGTAGACTGAGTTGGGAAAAACCTTTAAAATGAATGTGACTGAAAAGTTTTCAATTCATTTGTTTGCCAGAGTGCTGTACTTTTCTATTCATCGCTACGAGTACGGGCGGTTCTGGCCCGAGTTGAGAGAATCTGACTATGATTTCATCGGTAAAGACAATGGTCTTGGCTACAACATCAACATCCCTCTGAACAAGGTATGTTAGGAGTTGTATTTTTCTGGAAGTTTCTCTAATCCTGGAAGTAGCTGTAAACTATTCCAGACTTTATATTTTGTGTTTAATTGTCTTATGACGATACTGGCCTTAGCCAGCCTGCCTGGCAACCATCAGTGTTTTCCTATATCAGAACTTTCGGTTTGGAGCGTTGATGCTTTTTACATACATAGGAGCACAGTCCTTTCTGTGACTGTTGAAAAGGGTAATATTCCCCTTTATGTTTACATATCATTGCCTCAGAACTATTTTATCCAAAGTGCTCTTTACTTTAGTACACTTTGGACAAAATAGCTCAGAGGCGACAATATGTTGATCTTTTCTCTCTCACATTATTACGGTTGTAGTTTTCCGGAAATTTAGAGTAATTTGACTGGTTACATTGATGTATGTCTCTGTTTGTATGGTGTGAATGCTCCCTTCAGTGTGCTTGCCAAAATTTTGTGAAATCTTAATAAGGAACAAAAACATCCATCCAATGATCATGATTTGACAGGGCTAAGTTGTAATGTCTATTTTGTTCCCTATATTTAGAATAGATTTTGTATAATTTCAGTAAATGTGTTTTAAAGTGTTTAAAAAGATTTTCATCATTGTCAAAGCAGATCATGAGGCAGAGAATGAGCACAGTGGTGACTAGCAATAGCACATTTGTAAAATTGTTCTGAATTGGTGCCATATTGCATATCTGGAATTCTTTGTATGCACATTTGTGATGTGTTTGATTATATATTTAGGTATGTATGTATGTATGTTTGCCATCGTGACCTACATTTCCCCATGGGGATCAATAACGTGTATATTATTTATATATTCATCTGTTTATTCATTTATTCCCTTATTCACTTATTTATTTATCTATTTATTTATTTGTTTATTTATTTATTTATGATATATTCACTTGGAGAATGAAAGAAGTGTGCATTTTGTCTTAAGGCTTTTGATTGACCTGTTTTTTCAGAATGGCATGACAAACAGTGACTACATGGCTGTTCTACATCAGGTGTTGCTGCCTGTCGCTTATGAGGTGTGTCTTTGTTTGTGGCTATCACCAAAAAGAGGGTGGAAGGGGAACAGTAAAAATATTTTACAATGTAGATCTCTCTCTCTCTCTCTCTTTGTCTCTGTCTCTGTCTCTCTCTGTCTCTCTCTGTCTCTCTCTGTCTCTCTCTGTCTCTCTCTGTCTCTGTCTCTCTCTCTCTGTCTCTCTCTGTCTCTCTCTGTCTCTCTCTCTCTCTCTCTCTCTCTCTCTCTCTCTCTCTCTCTCTCTCTCTGTTTCTCTGTCTCTGTCTCACTTTCTTTTACTCTTGCTCACTCTCTCTATCTTTCACTCCCTCTCTCTTGCTTTCTTTCCCTCTCTCACCTTCTTGTTCACTCTCTCTCTCTCTGTTTTTCTGGCTCTCCCTCACTCTTCTTTTTCACATACACATACACACGCACACTCACACACCCACACTCACACACACACACACACACACTCACACACACACACACACACACACACACACACACACACACACACACACACACACACACATGCTTGACACAATAGGTTGTGGAAAAGGAAGGAAAGGTAGAAGAGTCGATATTACAAGTAGTTTTTTTTGTATTTATATCTTTCTTTGAAAGTGTTTTATTTCCACTTTAGAGCTGTTGCACCTCGTTACAGTTTGCAGTGGCTCTGTTTCATTTCCCCAGAACCAACTGGCATGGAAGATTGAGTTGTGATTTTGAAGTTATAGTGAAAGTCTTTTATATTTAAATGTTTTGAGGGAAAGCTCGCACAGTTTGCGTGTTCTTTTTGATTTATTGTGCCAATCTCATGGGTATACCCACACATTGGCAGCTGGTTAAGCACTCAATGTTGTCATCCCCATCACCACAATTTAGGTCATTTAGGAGGTGGGATTCGACCTTACCTGTTAGGGCCAATCCGGGCTGAGAGGGATATAACATAACAACAGAAAGATGGAAATATTTGAATAAAATTTGACCCACACAGGAGTAAAACTGAGAACTTCTGCATGCGCGGTAAAGCGCCTAAATGCAACAACACAGATGTCAGCCCTAGTACCTTTGTGCAATTGAATAATTGGTGAAAAAATAGGGGAATATACTTTTCCAATAGGTGCGATATCATGATCTGCATCTCAGGGAATGAAACGCTGTGCTTACACCTGAGTCTGACATCGTAATTTTAAGACAAGGGAATCCCTGAGTGAATGAGTTGTTCGAGATTACTAATTTTTTACTCTTTCTTATATGGCTTAATTGATGCATTTTCTTGACAGAAACAGAAGAAGAAATAGGTTCTTCCCCTCCAACACAGAACTTTATTTGAAAGATAGGATTTCTCTGAATAAATTAGTTAGTAAGTTGAAATCTTCCGTGAGCTCTCTTTTTACACTCCACTTATTAGAGTACAGTTATTCTGGAGGATGGGCTCTAAAGAGGCCGTGGACCAATACCTGATTCAAGATCCTGTATTCTTGTATTCTTATTGCCTATTTCACAGGTGCTCATTCATTTGAAATAGTCAAACTGTTAAGGAGTGTTTTTTTTCCTGTTGTTCCAGTAACTTAAGAAATGTTTAAAACATTTATTCATTCCCCAAGTTTCAGAGGTTTGTTTACTTTGTAAAAATATACAGCACATAATATTTTCCTCTATATATCAAATGTCAGTATTTCTCTTATGTCACTTCGCCGTATAGTCTCGAAGACTTGATTGATTGAGGTGCGCCCCGCCCCCCCCCTCCCCCCCCCCCCCATTGATCCGAAAGGGAGAAGAGGTGAGCGTGGTGGAATGAGAAGCATAAAAAAGGTCCATGCTAATGCCATGAATATTACAGTTCAGTCCACAGCTTGTGTTAATCTCCTCCGGCTATGATGCAGCCATAGGTTGCCTAGAGGTATCTCATTACATGTTTTTTCTGTTCTCTTTTCATGTTATCTAATTATTTCCTATATGTACCAAATGTCTAACATGTTGTGCTTGAAAAATAGTGACATGTTACACATTAGAATCCTACAAATCATACTTAAATTTTCCTATTCTCTGACTTGTCATCCATTCTACTCATCCTCATTGATGTACCAAAGACTGAGATAGCTTTAAGACATTAAAAATAAAATAAGATAATAAGATAAGATGAGGTAAACTTAATGGTGCATTCTTAAAGACCCTGAATTTGTTCCTGATATAGTTCTGACTTTGTAGAAGAAACAGACTGGTGTGAAAGAACCTCTGTTTCCAGATATAGAAATTCAGAATTATACATGGGTTTTAAACTTTTTTTTACAATCAGTATTTTTTTTTTTTACTCAGCTTAGCAGAAATGTTTGCACTGGTTGCCTTGAGACTTTAAAAAGAATGTTGTTTTAAAAAAACAACAACCCATCATGTTGATAATAGATAATAATAACCCTTTCTATTGAGCTGAGATATTGTTTTCATTTCTTTATCACAAGCATTGTAAACATTTTTTCGTCCTGTCCAAGCAGTATAGATAATATAGGCAGCAGGCTATTTTTACCTTGTCTGTCAGGGCTGTCATACTAATTGTATGGGATGTATCCCAGCAGAAAATGGAGGAACTTACTACACTGACTTCCCCATGTGGGACTTCATGGTACCATTTTTGGCATGTTTTTGATAAGCTTTTCTATTGTAGAGACAGAATTGTTTTATTGGAGCTGACATCAAGGTCACAAAAATGTCCTGAAAATTGAAAGTTACGAAAAATTGTACTTTTAAAATGTCATTGTTATCATCTCAGTCTTTGTGTTACTCGTACATCATCCGCAAATTTTTCTTTCACTCACTAAGAACTAAGAAAAGCAATGTAGAAAATGGTTTTGTTCCAGTTCAGAAACTAAGAATGCACTCAAGTCCAGGACTGCATCCACGAAGATTTATGATCTCTCTGTTTTATACTGAGCCCCTACACTGAGGGACAAAACGAAAAGGAATAGATTTGAAAAAGAAATCAGCTATTGCTGAGAAAAGTTTGCAGTGATGTATGTTTTCTTACACCCGTTTAATGCTTGTCCTATCATACAACTGTTTCTTATACGTCTGTAGTACTTGCCTTTATGTAGCTATATATCACTGTCCTGTTTGTTTATTTGTTTGTTTTGTAGTTTCAACCCCAGTTGATACTGATCAGTAATGGCCTCGATTCCGCCATAGGGGATGAGAAGGTAGTGAACTAAGTCTAATGAATTATCTCTACTATGTAACCTGTGGATTTAAGTACAGTGTGGTAATAATTTTCTGGCTTGATATAAGTTTCCCAGAGATTTTTGCTTTATATCATCATCATTAGTTATTAAGTTATTCTCTAAATACTGCAAAAAAAGTTTAAGAAAGAACAGGTCTCCCCCCCATTGAAAAAGATAATCAGTAACCATATTAACTAAAGAAGAAATGTTAAGAAAAGTACTCAAATGTTCGAATGTTTTGTAGATAGATATATAGATGGATAATAGATAAATAGATAATTAAATCATGAAATAAATACAATGAATAAATAAATGAATGAGACACTTTATATGTATATATATATATATATATATATATATATATATATATATATATATATATATATATATATATATATATATATATATATATAGATGAACTGAGTCAGTCTATTCATTTGTGGTTCCTGTGCCCAGGGAGAGATGTTGCTCACCCCCAGCATGTACGCCCACATGGTCCATCACCTGATGGGTCTGGCCACTGGACGAGTTTGTGCTGTGCTTGAGGTAGGTTCTTCTACTGTGTTTTTTCTTTCTTTCTTTGGGTCTTCCTTTTTTTTCCTTTTTAAAAATAAATTCCTTTTTGTGTAATTTGTAATTTGTTTGTTTTTAGTTTGCCTGTTTCTTTTTTTCTCTGTTTGTATCAGTCTTTTTCTCTTTTTTTCCCCCCTGCTTTATTTTCTCCAATAATTGTATGTTTCTCTTTCTCGCTTTCTTTGTTTCTGTTTGTCTGTCAGTCTTACTGCATGTCTTTCTTTCTCGTTTAATTTCTTCCTGTCTTTCTTTTTCTTCTTTCTTTTTCCTCTGACCTTTAATCTCTCTCTCTCTCTCTCTCTCTCTCTCTCTCTCTCTCTCTCTCTCTCTCTCTCTCTCTCTCTCTCTCTCTCTCTGTGTCTCTCTCAATTAGCTTGGGTTTTCCCTGAGTGGCAGGGTGAAAGCAGCCTGTCTCTTAAATGATATAAATAGTGTTGATGATGATGAACGTTGAAAATGTGTAAATTGTTGTACTTATATTTTCTGTGTGCAATGGAAAGGGAAAGTGCTATATATTTAGCCTTTTCCTCCTGTCTATCTCTAGAAAATTTTCCATCTTTTCCCTCTCTTAGTTTGGGTAAAAGCCTACTTGGACCCCCCATTCTTAAAATAAGTTAAAAGTGTCTTTTATGAATGAGGTCACAGCCACCCAAAGTGGGTAGTTGGCTGATGCTCTGGTGTGGTTTGGTTCTTCTTTCCTATCAAACATCTATCGTCTTTATCTTCCCTCCTTTTTTGTGTTTGTTACTCTCTTGTATCACCTCTAATCTTCGGCACTTCTATGACCTTTTTATGTCGCAAGTGCTGTAAGATTCTTACTAAAACTGAAAAAACGGCCACCCACATATGGCCTCACAATAGAGAGCAGAGACCTCAGATGTGGATAGTAGGTCAAGTAAGTTCTGAAAGGAGGGCTAAAGTAGAACTTTACCTGAGTGGGTTTGTTTCAATGTCAGGGTGGCTACTGTGTGAAGTCTCTGGCTGAGGGTTGTGCTCACACTCTACGTAGTCTCCTGCAAGATCCTTGCCCCATGCTGAAAGCACTGGAAGAGCCCTCTGACAGGTAAGGTTGTCACTTTTCTTGTGTCTCACCATTACACCAAGGTGTCTGTTATGTAACGGTGTGGCTCTTTGCTGATTTTGCAAAAGAAATTTGTTCAATCTCAAGCAGTAAAGAATTGAACAATTAAAAGGAATTGAATCAAAGAGACCAAAGCAGAGCAGTAAGCTCTCCCAAAAATATGCAAATCATTTGTGGACACAGTCGATTTTGTTTAGGCTTGTATAACATTTGTGGCTGCTGGTAAGTGTAATGTCTATACTGCCAATGTAAACGATCAAGCCAAATTTCTCCCTGCGAGATGAAAAAAGATTGTCATTGTTGTTAAGAAGTTTAAGAAAAAAAATTAAATAATACATTCTTTCTTGATTTTTTTTTTCTAAGTAAAAAAGGAAAAGTAAAGAAATTAATTTTTGTTGTTGATAGAATGAGACGGCATTCGAAGACTAATCTATTGAAAGGGAAAATTCGATTGTCTTTCTGTCAAAATCATTGGATCAAATATGGGCTAATGATATATATTTTGAACATTATTAAATTACTTCAACGGCTTTCAAAATTTTATTGAAACATTTTTTAAAAGTATTAAAAAAGTAATACTTCTATGATGAATGCATTTCTTTTGGTTGCTTTCAGTGTCATCAGCACCATCCTTAACGTGGTCAAAGTTTTACGGCCGTACTGGAACTGTTTTGCCTACCACCAGTTGCTCCTGCCCAATGAGTCGTGCCAGTTTCCTGAGGTCAGCTCTGTGCCGCCACTGTAAGTTTGATGAGATGAGATGTGTGTAACTTAAGTGTTAGTTTAGGATCAGGCAGATTGCTCACTTTTCTTCTTTCCTAAGTAAAAAGTTGGGCGGGGGTGGGGGGGGGGGGGAGGAGGGGCACTTCAATATGTGGCCTCTAGGCTACAGTCTGTTTGGGAACTAAAGGATATGAGGTTGGAATTGATATGGTAGTTTTCTTATATTGGTAATTATCTGTTTAGTTAGTTTTGGAAGACAAAGAAAAAGCATCAATTGTACTAAAAAGTTTTAAAATTTTTTTTATTCATGAGACGATCTTATGGTGGATGGTGGATGCTTCTTTTCTGTGTGACTGCTGTTTTTGTCTCTTGTTTTAGCTTTTTACAGAAGGATATAAACTTTCTTGTGTTGATAACTTTTCTGTAACCCTTTGAGCTCTGAGCTAACTGGACCCATGCCCCAGAGTTACACAGGGGGGAACGTTGGGTTAAAACTACCTCACGGTGAGTATTGTGTTTAATGGACAGAGGGTTAACAACATTTGCTGAGGTGTGTGCTCAGGTCTGTAGGGTTCGGCCAAACTCACAATTGATTTAGTCAGACTTGCTCTTTTTTTTATATTTTTTTTTTTTACTTAACTTCTTGTTTTTGTCTTAAATTCAAATCAAACTTGATGCTCATTCTTCATTACTACTTTGCTTTTCTCTGTCTGCTGTTTTTTTTTTCCTCCTGGCACAAAGTGGTCATTATATATGATAGTGGGTTTCTCTCTAAATTCATTCCTGCATTCAAATTGTGAAAAAAAACTTTGGTGATGGCAACTTCACAGACCAGGAGTGGAGTTCAGTACCCCTGAGAATCGCCCGGAGAAGTTTGAGATTCTTCACAACTACCCTACTCAGAGTGCTGAGACCATACAGCATTACTCTGCCCTCATAGACGACCTCATAAAGGAAACAGATCTCTCTGTGGCAGCCGACAGGTGGGTGGAGAGGTTGTATAGCAGGGGTCTCAAACTCGCAGCCTGCAGGACGATATTTTGCAGCCCGTACTTGACATGAAATTTTAGTGTTGTCCAGGATTTTTAAATTTTGTAGCACTCATGGGGTGTCACTGCTGAAGCTTGTGACAGCTTCCGGTAGTGATTTTTTATTGAATTTTAAACATGATTTAAAAGGTGTACTCTTTACTCTACACTCAGCTACCCCCCCTTACATTTAAGGACACTTTAAAAAGAAGAAAAACCTAGTTATTCAGACAGACTTCTCAATTTTGTTTTCTTTATCGGGAACTTTTAAGGGTTGGCAATCACATGCATAACATGAAATATGAAAGTTTTCGTTTCTGATTTGTGTACACTAAGGTATCGAATAAGCCCCCCCCCCCCGCTTATTATTTTCTATTTTCAGTTTTTTTTGCGCACCCCACTGCTCTTTATTCCATACCTCCATTTACTGGAAAAGTTGTCACGGTAACTTACGAAAAGCACTGAAATTTCATGATCTCTTGTTGTTTTACTCTTCTAAGGAGTTGTAAAACAGATTTATTCCTACTAGTACAAGGGTATGAGGTTGATTGCCCCCCCCCCCCTCCCTCCCCCTTTATTCCAACCCCCCGTTTATTAATTTGGGACCTCTTGCCCCCCCCTCCCCCCCCTCATTTTATTCCTACACCCCCTTTTATTCGATACCTTAGAGTATGAAATGTGTCATTACACTGCCTTTGGTCTGCTGCTGATTGGACATATGTGTCTGATACGTCCCCAAAGAGTTAAAGGTTTTTAACCCTTTGATCCCTGACCTCCTGAGGCTACCGTGCCCCTCTGCCTGAGCTCCTGAGCGATATATTACTAACATTCATTTGATCATTAGAATCAAATTCCATATCCCTCTCATGATAGTCCTTGTCATTACCAGCATCTAATTCAGAAAGATCTTCAAAATAGTCAGTAACGTCTTTTGTAGTAAATTCTGTTTTCTGTAGGCATTAATTTGTCTCAGGTTGGCCATGTTGGGGATGGGGTCTGGCTCACCGCTGTACCGGTGACTAGGCATACGTGCAATTTTATTCGCCACTGGTAGGCATTGCCTCATGTGTATGTAAAAGAGGCTTAGATGTGACTGCATGCTTTAAGATCAGTCTATAGATCATTTTGATTTATGTGAAGTGATGCCATTAGCAGTATGAACATAAGCACAGGTGTATCATGTGATATTTTTCCCCAGGTGTTGTTATGTGTTTGACCCTGACATGAGAGCCCACAAAAACCTTGACCTTGGGTAAGCAATAAGACTATGTCAGAACCCCTACACATACCAGAGCAAAATTTATGAGTTGATGTATATTGAAAACTGTATACATGGAGAAGATCAAATTTTATATGAGAGACAAAAAACAAATTTTTTTTTTTTTTTTTTTTTTGCTTTACTACCACGCATAGGATTTAAATGCTTGTTTTATTTATGTAAAGCAGCCATGCTGTTGTATTCGTCAGTGATTTGACAAACAGAGCGACAAAGAAAATGAGAACAGTAAATTGTGGTGTCACATGAATTGTGATTTTTCACTGTCAATATGAGAGTATTTTATGTCTTTTTTCTGTCTATCCTCATGCCTTTTTTTTCCAGCTATCAAGCTGGCATTAGTGTATTAATATGATTCTACTGTTACTCAAATTCAAACTCCTTGTGGGCATATATGGCCTTGAGCTTACCTGAAAACGCAAACCCAGGTGATGACTTTGTGTTTTTGAGAAAGTGAAGTTTTGTGGCCTTTTCAGAAGCCATCCTGAGAGACCTGATCGCATATCGAGAATCTACGCAAAACTGGCAGAACAAGGGCTCCTCAAGAGATGCTTGGAAGTTGAAGTAAGCTGACAAGGGTGTGGATTGCACCCTCAGAAAAAGTCTGTTCATCTTTTCAGCAGTACACTTTTTTGTTTGTTTGACATTCATCTATAGTAGAAAACTTGTTAATATCTGCAAGTACTGCTTTTGACTACAGTAAAAAAAGATATTGGGTTTTTGGGGAATTACCACATTTGACAGAAGTCCAGATTCCAGGGTGATGTTCTGACATGGGTTGTAGAAATAACTGTGGAACGTAGATATGTCCTTTTGTCTCAACATTTTTTTTCTTAAAATGTTTCTCAGAAATTCATTTTTAGCACTTGTATTGTGTGGTGTTTTACTTTAGTCTCAGTAAGGCCGAGACATTCTTAGAAATTGCTCTCTCTGAAATGGGCCAAAATACTGCACAGCACATAGCTTTGTCACACTGACTTGTTTTTGTCTTGCTTGCAACTTGGCAAGTTATATTTGTTCGGTAATAATGCCTTTGGTATCCACTTACAAATTAATTTGGTAAGTTAAAGCTTTCATATCGTTTTAATTTGTTTAGAATGGTAGCATTGTTAATGTTAATTCTTCAATTTTTCATTTCAGTCCCGCCTTGCCAGGAAAGAAGAACTGCTGTTGATTCATTCGTGAGTTTCTTCCTGTACAGTAAAGATGTGTCACAGCAACTTTTATGTTTCCTGTAATACAAGGTTTCTCTTAATCTTGAACAAAAATATTGTTACTTAAAAATTTTTCATAGCTGCAATATTGATGTGTCAAAATATGGCTATGCCTGTGTTGATTTGCAGTTTGCTTAATTAAACTCTAAGATCACAACAACTGCAACAACATGAGAAAAAAAAGACGTACAAGTCACTGTGTATTGTCACTGTAAAAAAAATATTCTCCTTCACTGTTTATTCTTCCAGAAAACGAGCAACCATTTGCACCAACACCGTCACCACAGTTGCTGCTGCTTAACAATAGACACAGCAACGCATCAAGCATTACCTCTGCCTCAAGTTAACCCACTACTTCTTCTTAAATTAGCTAAATTGTTTCGATGGGGGTGTGAAAGACACCAATGTCAAACCAACATTTTTTCTTTTCCAGAGAGTCCCACATCACAGCCATGCAGGAGACTCAGAGAATGTCAGAGAAGGAGCTGAGTCGGCTGCCTCTAGAGCGTCTCTACATTTCCATTTACCTCCATCAGGTCTGATCCTCCTCCTTCTCCTCCTCCTCCTCCTTCTTCTTCTTCTCCTCCTCCTCCTCCTACCTACCATAGGGTTGAGTCATGTGAAAAATGTTAGACACCTGTTTTCCTCTTCCCATATTAAATATAACTGTCTGCATGAAACTGGAATAGAACAAGTTACTTTGTCGGAAGAGATGAACACCCTGTTTTTCCTGACTTGCATTATTCCTTGACACTTGCTTGAAGTGCTCAGATGATGACGAAAGATGAGGATGATAATAATAATGATGATCGATAAAAATTGCTCAACGAATGAAAAAAAAATTCTTTGTTTTCATTATTTTGATAAGCGCCAGATTTCACTATGATGCCACATATTTAGTATTGACTGTTTTATTCATTTCTTTGCTCTTTTTATATTCTTCAAATTTCTTCTGTTTGTGACGGAAAGACATTACTGTGCAAGTGTTTTAAAAATGCCCTGAATATCTTTTTTTTCTTCAGAGAACAATGCACTGTGCCTTGCTGTCCTGTGGGAGTCTGCTAAATGTTGTGGAAGCGGTGATGACCAAACAGGTGGGGCAACCACAGGATCACTTCTTTGGCGGGTTTTTAGCTTGGTTTTAGCTGGTTTTGGAGTGGTATTTGACTCGTATGTGGATGTTTTAACCCTAGAAGCGCTCAGCGTTTCACCGGAAGTAACCCACCAAAAATGCCCCGCCGCCACGGCCGATCAGTTGTAAACATGATACCCGAAATGTACCTGCTACTGAAAAATGACCATTACGGCTCAACAGATGATAAAAAGCATATAAAACCATATATTTTCTTTAAGCTGATAGAATGAGCCATTTAAAAATGATCAGCGATCAAATAAATACAAAGCCGAGAGCACGATAGACTTAACAATTAGTACATCAGCACCGCGAAACAAGTAATAACACATAGCGTGTAGTCGCTCAGCGGGACCGCGTCACTTTATCGATCGATATCTCGGCCAAGAGACGCTCTACGAGGTCAAGATAACTTGCAAAGTCATTGGTCACTATTTAAAACTTTGAGCTGTAATTGACTACGTCATTTTCCATGTAAGGAATACTGGAATTTTCCATTGAAAAAGGTCAGCGTTTATGCCCTTTATATAGGGCCTGCGTGCTTCCCGGTCGAAGTAGGTCAGCCCTATATATAGGGCGTGCGCGCTTTGCGAGTAGCTCGGCTCACGCCCTTTATATAGGGCCTGCGCGCTTCCAGGGTTGAGAAGCGTTGGTGAAGGAGGAAGTGTGCTGTGGTTCGTTTATCAGAATTGTAGAAAGGGATGATGTGTGAATGATTTACAAGCTGGTTTGTCTGTCATTTATGTCTGGTTGGTCTGTCATTTATGTTTGGTTTGTCTGTCATTTATGTCTGGTTGGTCTGCTCCTGTTTTGTTGATTTATTATAAATATATTTTTGATTTAGTTGTGCTGTATGGATGGGATAAAAATTATTTGTTCCTGGTTTGTGAGTGATTTGTTGACAGCTCATAGCTAGTGGACAATTTGATAATGATTTTTGTTTGATTTACTTGTAATTTATTAATGTTTTTGGTAGACGATGTTTGTGTCTTGTTTGGTGTTCAGGTTTTCAGCCTATCTCATTCCATAAGGGGGATTTCTATGGTTTTGCCTCAATGTTTTAACATTTATTCTTGTTTCAGGTAGTGGGAAAAAGTGTGTCTGTACTAATCTATGGTTCCTTTTATAAATGGCTCATGTTATTAATCACATTGAGCAGAAATTAACGAAGAATGACAAAATCAAGTCTAAAATAGATTAAATATTACCGGTTAGCATTAGCGAACACCATGGAAAACAGAAGACCTAAGCTCATTTATGGCATCATGTATAAACGATGGTCTCCACAGCAGTTCTGAAAATCTTCTGTACATAGTCTTTAGGCACAGATTGAATTAATAGCCATCACAAGAAGCCACTCTCCCCATTATTTCCCTTGTGATTGTTATATTTTTCTATATCAGTCAGTCAGAACGTAGCATAAACTTGTCTGGTGAAGATTGGGATGATTTATTGCCCATTGTTGATTTATCTTCTTTACATTTTATACTTCTAGGCACAGAGTGGAGTGGCAATTATCAGGTAGGTGTATTGCTGTTGTCATGAGTTTACTGTCCTTTATCTTTTATTTGATTTCAAATTTCTTCTTCTCCCAATGTATGTCTCAGAGTGCTGTTGGGGGCTCCCGTGGTCTAGAGGTTAAGGTGTAGCCTCTCGTTCAATAGATCCCGGTTTCGAATCCGGATCGAGGCTGAACATTTTCTTCTCTTAAATTTTCTCCTGTCACTTTCTTTCCTTCTCTTTAACATTGTTCTGTTCACGACGTCACTTTTCGCCCGATTCTGTTAGTTTTAGTTCGCGTGACTCAGCAGCCCGCCGGAGCTCCCCGGCTCGGGGTCACGGGGTTAATGAGCCCTGAAGCGACTTTGCCGGTGTCGGTCAGGAAGTTCGCATTTTTGACTATGTTTAAAACGATATAACTTCTTCCCCATCCCACATAGCAAACCATTATGCGGATGTACTAAAAGCTCAATGTCTTGAGATTTATTCTGCGTTAGAATGGTTAGTTTCTGTGCCTTAGTTTTTGTTCTAGACAAGTGTTTGTAGAATACCCAATTTGTCCTATTTTAGTTACAAACTTATGAATAAATGATTGTTAATTTAAAAAAGGCTCGACAGATCTCTCCAAAAGATTTTTTTTCATTCACGCTAGTCCAAAACAAATTACAATTTAGCAGTGCCGACTCCGGCGCGTCTAACAAAATAACCAGACAAGTTACAACGTCCGTTCTTTTTTGAGTCTCAAGAGCAGAAATGCGTGCTTTGGGTGCACTAAATGAGAATTACCATAAAAACAAGGATACACCTTAAATTGTACGTTGAAAAGTACCAAAAATTAGGTCGGCCCAGACAGAGCGGCGACTGGGAGCTGACCCCCGTGACCCCGACGTGATAAGGCGCCCGGCGGGGAACCCCCCGCGGCAACTAAAATTCCACTGCCGGTGCGCCGTGTGTTGTTTGCTTTCTCTACTTTTTGCCCCCAACCCCTCACCTTCTTTGCCCTTTCCTCTGAGCTACTGACTCTTTCTGCAGCCTTTCTACTGTTACTCCCTGGCTCCGACTTATTGCTGCCTTTCAGCCACACCCCTGATCTTATGGTAGGTTAGATCTACACTAAGCTTTTTCGGACAAGGGTGAAAAATCTTGGAGGTCCTATGTGCAAGTTGCGCATGTTAAAGATCCCTTGGCGGTCCAAAATCGATAAGAGTAGGCTTCGGCTGTCACCCGGGCAAAATCAAAATTTCCTACCAATTGAAAATGTTTAATGTGTCCCGCGCACTCATCTGACCTTATGCAGTTGCGAGTGCCGTAAAGCACTTACCAAAAAAGAAAAAGAGTGCTGTTTTGTTGTAAAAAGGTGAAATTTATTGTTTAGCAGTAGCAGTTGGCTTAGAGGGCGCCACTGGTTTGTCATTTTTCTTCTTTCCCTTTGTTTTCTCTGCTGCTTCTGTCTGTCTCACTTCTAGCTCTAAATCGCCTCCTAATACATATATATTTTCTATTAACTGTAATTTGTAATGAACTGATGGTCTCTTTGTTTTATTTTTTTTTTTTCCCCCCTTCACAACAACCCTGTGGTGAGTGAAAACTGGGCCCTATAGCTCTTTGTAAACTTGGAGGTTACTCTTCAAGTTGCTCACTTGTATTCACTTTCTATATGATGGTAGTTGTTTACGAGATGGTGACTATGGCAACACAAAACAGCATCAGGCTTATGATAACCCCAGATCTGTATCATTTAAATAGATCATTAAAATTTTGTCTACTGGAAGACGTCCTGATCGAAGGGGAAAAGGGGGAAATAACCAAGCATTCTATCTGGTTTGATTATTCACTATGGGTTCATTCCCTTGGTGTCTGTTTTGGTTGCTTTGTGTTCTTGCTCGTGTAAAGTTTTGATGCTTGTATTTTCCCTCTCCTCAAAGACCTACTGGTTTTGTTCACAGGCCGCCAGGACACCACGCGGAGTCGCACTGTGCCATGGGATTCTGTATATTCAACAATGTGGGCATTGCTGCCAAGTTTGCTCAGAAACACTTTAATGTGAAGAGGTAAACTGTGTACTCTTCCCTCTTTGTCTGGGGTCCCCCCCCTCCCCCTCTCTCCTCCTCCCCTTTCTCTAGGGTCTCCCCTCACAATCTCCCTGCCCCCGAGATTGATGAATGAAGATACTGGAAGTAAACAGATATCAAGGTGGTGTTGGTAGCCCTGCGGTTAGGAAATGAAGAAATTAAACTTTTATTATTGATGCAAAGTGGAACAGGTGGTCAAGTGGTCCTGAAGCGATATCCAGAGAGCTAGGACTCGCAGTTGTTGAGAACAGAAGCAGTGATCATTTGAGATTTAATGTGATGTGGGCTTGAAAACTTACAATAGAACCTTTATTTAGACGTTCACCATCAGGAACTTACTGTTGAGTTTTGATGCTAGTTTCTAATCACAAACCCTTTTGCTTGATTGTGAGTTTGGAATGAAGAATTTTGTATGAAAAGATAAAACATCTGACATGTTTTGTGCTACAACATCCCTATAGCACTCTAATGCAGTTGATACTTTAATAAGTAAGTTATACATCATATAGTCGGTTATTCTGTTTTTCTGGTGTTTACTCTTTCTACCAAGTGCAATGTTTAAATAAATGCCACATACTTTGACTACATATTGTTCTTTTTTTGTTCAATCTATATTTGTCAGGACTGATAACTTCATGTACCAGTTCTTTTCATCTTAGAAGACTGCCAATTTCATGTTTATAGTCATGTAAGTTAGAAGAGATGCAAGTTGTGTATTCCTAAAGTTTATCTTGTGTTGTATCCTATCTTACCAGGGTTCTGATTGTTGACTGGGATGTTCACCATGGCAATGCAACCCAGCATCAGTTTTATGATGACCCGAGGTATGTTGTGTGTTGAATGAATCACTGTGATGTTTTCAGTATGGGAGATTAGAGATGGCATAGACTATAGCCAAGAATTTTGTTCAGGGTAATAATACTACACTAATTGTTAGCTCAATTACTGTTGATGTTCACTTTGCTTCTTCTAAGTACTAAATGACTTCGGTTTCCTTTGACTAAAAACCCCCCCAGCTTTGTTCCCATTTTTTTTGGTTTTTGAAAACATCAACTTACACCATTTATTTTGTTTTTCCATCCTTTTCACTATGACCTGCTGTTCTTTCTGCCTTTTGTTTTTTCAACGTTTACTTTACTGTTGTTTGACTCCCACAGTGTCCTGTACATCTCTCTGCACCGTTACGACAAAGGAGGATTTTTCCCTGGCAGTGATGACGCTGATGCGGATCACACTGGCACTGGAGCTGGGCAAGGATTCAATGTGAACATCCCCTGGAATTTTGTGAGTGTTCCGAAATGTTGTCCTGTTGCAAGAGTGGGTGGTTTGTATAGGTTCTAGTCCAGGCTTCTCTCTTCACTTGTTCTCATTGTTGTAGTTAGAACTGGTCTTTTCCTGACCAAATTGACTGCTTAGTGTAAGGCTCCATTATTTTTGTGTGACTTTGAAAGTGATGCTTGACAGAGATTTACTCTGAGCAGTCGAAATGTGTGTGTGGTATTGTGCTTACTCTCCGTAACTGAGATGTAATAACCTTGATGTTTTCTGTTAAATACCTTACTGACTTAACTGCTTAAAAAATATTCAAATTTATAATTTTTTTCCTGCTATTCTTTGACCTCAGATTGTGTTTATAGAAACCGTCTCAATTGATGGTAATATTGTGTTTTTAGATAGGCGTGGGGGTCTGTTTATCGTTAGTTATTGACATTCAACAGTAAGTACTCGAATGAGACATTGGGCTAGCTCTGAACTAATTACAATACCTTACCATTTCAACATATTAACACAACCCCCAAACTGCCCACCAACCATTCTATATATGAATATATTATGTTTTTCTTTGCGCACAATATGATGCAATTCGTCTGTACCAAATTCACAGCTGATTCGGGATGGGGTGAAGTTTGGGGGGGGGGGGGGGTGGGGGGAGGTAATCTCGGAGGGATATGAAACTTCATTTTCTTTCACACTGACATCTTTTGTTTTAGTAAGCGTTCTACGGCACTTACAACACAGTTAGGTCATGTAAGTGCCGAAGATTAGAGGTGTTACAAGAGCGTAACAAACACAAAACAGAAGGAAGAGAGATCAGGACAATAAATGTTTGATAGGAAAGAAGGAGCAAACCACACCTGAACACCCATCAACCACCCACTCACATCTGTAACTTAGCAAATGGGTCCCCTGGCTCAACTGGCTTACAGTCTTTTAATTGCTTGAATCAGAGCTTCACTATGGGAATTAAACAGAAATTATACCACTTTACAAAATAACGAAAACTTCTAGTGTTGATCAAAAGTCTGCTTGTGTCTGGGTGATGGTCAAGACAATTGGCCAGTGATGTAATAATATGTAATATATCCTTATCTTATAAAATTCATGTTACCGGCGTCTGTATAGTGTTGTGATTAAGAATGTCCACATCGCACGTAGAAGATTTGAGTTCAGTTCCAGTATGGGGAGAATCTTTTTCGAGTATCTTGGTCTGTCTCCGGGAATTATGTATCCTTCTCAGCCCGGGTTGGCCCTGACCTGCCTCCTAAATGATTTAAATAAGGTTAATGGAACGTAAAAACTCTTACATTAAAGTAGTTTCTTTTTTTTTAAAGTAAGTGTTTTACGGCGCTCACAACTGCTTAAGGTCATACGAGGGCGTGGGACACATTAAACATTTTCTGTTGGTAGGAAATTTTGAATTTTGCCCGAAGCCTACTCTTATCGATTTGGACCACCAAGGCATCTTTATTGTGCGTAACTTGCAGACGGGACCTCCGAGATTATTCACCCTTGTGTGAGAAGGCTTGGTGCAGATCTTTCCTACCAGAAGGTCAGGGGTGTAGCTGAAAGACAGCAGTAAGAAGGAGCCAAGGAGTAGCAGTAGAAAGGCTGCAGGAAGAGTCTGGAGCCCAAAGGAGGGGGCAAAGGAGGCGAGGGGGTGGGGGCAGAGAGTGGGGCTAATGCTAAATTTTCAATACACACAAATAAAGATTTGAATAAATTGAAATGTGTACCACATTTAGGTAGGATATTTTAGTCTTTTTTTTCTTCTATTTTTTGAAAAGTGGTAAAAATCATCTAGGGAGAGCTGACAACCCAGAAGTGTAGGCCTAGGGTTCAGTGAGTTAAAGAAAAAGGAAAAAAAAGCATCATTCATCGGGGCTGTTGCTTTACACAGATGCTCTATCTTTGCTCTGTGGTGTGACATTTACAAACATATGTTATCTTTCAAATTGTCTGATCAGCAGGAATAAAAAGTTGGACCTCTGGACCTATTCAGATTTAAGAATTTCCATCAAATGATGAATAGTATGTCACATACCATTTGAATGATCTTAATTAAGGGGGGCAAATGTTGCTTTTATGAAGACTATATGATTATGTTTTATATTATACTTATACTAAGCCTGTTTCCCAAATCTCAATTTATTGAACAAATTTTAAGATATACTTTTCTTATTTTCTTATTATGAAAGTGTCATGTAGAATGATAAAGTCAGCATTTAACAGAAGTTTTATTCAAAACAAAATTATGTGTATTTTAACTGTTTTTAATTAATTCTTCCCTATCTGGTTTATATTTGAGCGCTTAATCAGCTGCTTGCACTGTATGCTTCCCGGGAAGCTGAGAATGTTTCGGAGTGTTCTATGGTCTGCTGGGGTAATGATATAGTGTAAAGCGCATAGAGCCTGCTGTTGAGCGGGGATATGCGCTATACAAATGCTGTTTATTATTATTATTATTATTATTGACACGTGTGGTATAGCGGTAGGCTCTTTGCAGGAGCATACAAAAGATGTGAGTTCGAATCCCTTGTGGGGAGAATTTTTATAGAGTATCTCTATCTGTCTGCTGGGAAGTTGTATTCTTCTCAGTCTGTGTTAACCCTGACAGGGAGGGTCAAAGCAGCGCAATCTCCCTAGGTAATCTAAATTGTGTGGATGGGGGTGTAAAACACTTACAGTTAAAAAGAAATTTTTATTATAGGGTTTATACTTAATAATAACTAGGATAATAGGCCTAATAATAATAGGCCTAATAATAATAATAAAAATAATAATAATAATAATAATAATATTAATAATGATAATGATATTGACAATAGATTACATTTATATAGTGCTCTATCACATACGAGTTTAAGCTCTGAGCGCTTTGCATCAATCACACGTGGTCACTGAGCGAGTTCAACAGCAACACGTAAGGACAGCAGTAAAAACAAAACCCATCAGCAGTGAAACAAGTTCCCTGTGGGAAAACACTCTCATGTACTTTGAGTGTACCGTCCTATGACTTTGACAGATAACAGTCACCTGCTAATGAAAGTGCATTCATCACAGCCTCCTTTTTTCTGAGAAGAGAAGTTTATCACCTCAGGATCCCTGCGCAGAGATCAGGGAAAAGTAAAAGCGATTGGCAAAAGTTATTCCAATAAGTTAACTTCAGTTACCTGGCGGCCTGTTTTTATCTTTTTACTTCCATCATCATCTATCCGTTCTGCGCACATCGGTTAGAATTGTGGAAAATCAAACCAAATAAAAAAAAAAAAATGGTACACATTCATGACTGTTTTCAGATCAAACGAATTTGACCATAGGACCCAGTGATGTCCCCTGAGAAAAAGTCTGCTGTACATTTCATTGAGTTACTTCCCTTAAAACGTAAACATAGGCTCGTCTGGACTGTCTATTTCTTGCAATCCGTTCACCTTCTTGACTTTGAAATGTCAAATTGATCTAACCAGTGAACAGAATTCACCAAACTGAAAGAAAAAGCAATTTGGGAGAGGCGATTTATATGAGACCTAATTTGAATTCCAGCCAAGTTTTGCAACCCCCCCTCCTCCAATGGAAAAAAGGCCTCCCTGCCTCCCCCCTCCCCTCCCCCAGCCAAAAACAGTAACAAACTTCAACAAAACTTGTGTGTATAAATATTATTTAATGACACACACACACACACACACACACACACACACACACACACACACACACACACACACACACACACACACACACACACACACACAGCACACACACACACTCAAACACACACACGCACACACACGCACACGCGCGCGCGCACACACACACACACACACACACACACACACACACACACACACACACACACACACCCACATTCACACACACCCACGTTTCTTTATATCTGATTCCTACCCTCCTCCAGATTTTCCACTCTTTTTTGGCCCTATTCTCCGTGTCACTCGTTAACTCAGAGACACTAATGAATTTCACACCACAATGCGTAAATGTTAGCTCATGTGTACAGAGATTGATGTGCTTCACCAACAGAAAAATAACAGCCCCCCCAAAAAAACAACAACCAACTAACAAAAGAAAAAAGAAAGATAGAAAAAACCCTCCAGAAAAACCATGGAGTTGGAATGATGTGTTTGTGTTAGATTTTTCTTCTTTGTGTTTGTCTGTACATTGGGCATTTCAAAGTACAATAATTACAAAATACAAAAGTGGATTGCTGACAGTGTTCTGATGTGGTTTTCTACTTCTTTCCTATCAAATGTGTATCATTCTCATCTCCCCTTATTCTTTTCTTTGTTACTCTCATCTAAGACGTCTGACCTTCGACACTTATAGGAGACATTGTGTTGCAGGTAGGCCTACTTTAAAACTCTTATGAAAACAGAAATTTACTGAAAGAAAAATCAAGTTGGTTTACTGTTTAACCTTTTTTGGGAGCCTTTATTTAAAACAAAAATTAACGGGGAAAAAACTGGTTTGCGCTTAACCTTTTTTGAGAGCCCTGTTTTTGAAATAATAACAGGCCACTTGGAGCGCTTGTCTCGAATTGTGAAGAGTGAAGCGCACTCATGGTTCAAATCCTCGAACATGGAGAGCTTTCTTCTGAACAGTGATTGTTAGTGGAGGTTTGTTTGATCGCTGACTGTCTGGCTGTTTGTTTGTTTGTTGTTTTTTTTGGAAGAACGTTAGGCCAAGTTTATCGCCTTTTAAATATATTTTTTTCGGGTATGTTTTGAGAGCTAGAGGGGTGATAATAATTAATTGTTTTTGCGTTGTATTCAGAAACCGCCCACGCTTATTGCTGTTAATCGACTGGAACAATTGGGCAGGGGGTAGGGGGGGGGGGCATGTATTGTTCTTACGTTCTTTCAGTAGAGGATTTTTGGGAGAGCATACGTCATCGGGCACGTGATAATTGCCTCTTTTGGGTTATAATTAATAAGGAAAGAGAGGGGATTGAATGCCACAAAGTGAAGGTTATTTTTGTTCTTTTTGGGTAATTT